TAAGGAATATACCAAGAGCAATGTGAAAACAAAATCAATACTACACATTACACAATTGTTGTTCACAGCATTTGTGTTTGATTAGTTGTTTTCAGCACACACACACTGTGCTGTGGCTGCTGACCATCATCTCCTGATGTTTGCTCTGGCGTTCGAGCAGCACCTGCTCCAGAGGACCCCTGCTCTGCTCTCCCTCCTCTCTCTGGGTCTGCTCTGTCTTCCTCTTCTCCAGAACCATCTGAAGCTCCGGCTTACAGCACACCACCAGCCCTCTGTCCCGCCAAAAGGGCCCAAGCACAAACAACACATATAAAAGTAACATTTTACCAGTGCTATGCTAGCATTTTTATATGCTGTAATAGTTTTGAATTAGCTTTTTATTTTAGTTTTCATTTTAAAGTTTTTCATCTAATATTGATATTTTATTTTATTTAAACTTTATTTAAATTAACGAAAACATTTTTAATAGTTTGTTTTAGTTAACATCAACAACACTGCATGTAAAAGTAATAGAAGAACTCTACTTAATATCCTTAAGGAGAAAATCAAGTGCTACGCTTTTTTTGTCCAGGAATGCTTTTTTTTACTTTTTCTTTTTTTTTTGTCCAGGAACCACATTCCTATCAAACAACTATGGACCAATAACTATCCCTAAAATCAGATAGATTGATAGGAATATTGATCCTACTAGGGGGGAAAATCTTCCAAATATACAGCAAAATAACTGGTGATAATGTATCTAGGTAAAATTTACATTTGCATTTTTTGCGTTTAGCGAACACTCCTATCCAAAAATTTAAAAAATGACATTTTATTAAAATTTTTGAGGAAAAGCTAAAATAATTTTTCTTGTGTTTTTGTATTATGACATCATTTGGTATGGAGCCCCTCTTGCAAATCTTTTGCGTTCCCCTCACAAAAACATTAAAATAATTTTTCCTCCCACTTTGTATTATTTCCATCACAAAAGTTTTAAGAGGGAATGTTTCTCAGGGGAATGTAAAAGTTTTGTATCAAAATGCAAACGTTTTGCAATGAAATGTGACGTTTTTTAGGGAAACACAAAACTTTTGCATTTTGGGAATGTGAAGTTTTTAGGGTGAATGCAAAAGTTTTGCGTCGGAATGCAAACATTTTGCGAAGGACCATAAGGTTTCTAAGGAAAACTAAATTTCTGCATCAAATGCTTGGGAATGTGAAGATTAGGGTGAATGCAAAAGACTGCAACAGAATGCAAAAGTTTTGCGAGGGAACATAATGTTTAATCTGGCAACGCAAAGTTTTGTGAGGGAACAAATTAAGTATTTTCTACAGGGGAATAAATTACATTTCAATGCTTTTGTATTCCCCTAAGAAACTTTCTGCTTGCCCACAAAAGCATGAAATATACTTTTTCTTTCAACCTAGTATTATTTCCAACACAATGTTTACAGTGAAATGTAAAAGTTTTATATAAAAAAACATCCTTCTTATCTTTTTTTAACCCATCACCAGTGAACTAAGGGGCTTCATAGATATCATGAGATTTAACTGTAATTTTTGAGCCCATATTTCTCTGCCAAACTGACCGAACTATTGTTTTTCAGTAGTGTCAGCAGGCCTATCATTACAATGTCTGCCACAGTGTGGCCTGATAATACCAGAGGGTGTACTATTGCACACACATGACTGCCTGACACAAAAGACCAGCGAGAGAGAGAGAACGAGGCATCATTAATATTTCAACAACCCACTTAAAAAAGCTCAGCGATTTATTAAAGTCTCCATGACAGTATCTGATTTGGAGCATTTTATGGTGATCTTACTTTTTGTGGGCCAGTAACAGCTCCTTGTGAAGCTCCTGATGGCTCCTCGAGGCTTTCACCGGGTTGTTCAGGTTCCAGGGGCCCTCTGCAATATCACATTTATCTGCATTTTCATAGACACAAACGTTATTTCTGCAAAATTCTACAAGACACACTTCCCATGTCACTGTCTGTGAAAAACGCCAGGACAACGCACCTCGATTATGGCCAGGATGATGCAAAGAACTACAATCAAATGTGTCTGTGGGCGTCTTTGCTCTGGACTGTGCTGGTCTGGAGTTGGAGACGTGGTTGTGTCCTGCGACGCTGTTGGATAAGGCATTTTTGAGCTCTTGTTCGGACGGTCTAGTCGGGAGTGTTTGTGAAGCGGCCGATCTCATTGCACACACAGGTATCAAGAAGAGCCCTCAGCCAAAGCTCCTGCTGCATGCTGGGAAACTGTGCGTTTGGGATCGTCAATGAAGGCAAAGAGAGTGACAAGAGGGGTGAGTTTCACCTAAGTGGGATGTATAATTTATCAGCTGGTCAAATGCCTGCCCACTCAAATGATTTATTTGTCATTTCAAGCAAAATTAGAACAGATTGCTGACTGACAGATAAATGCATGCATTATATTTTCATGCAAGTGGCTAAGATGTATTATAAATTTGACTAAAAATACATTTATATACTGCAAACATCTATGTATAGGAATAGACACACAACAGCATTATATTTAAAAGCATTAAAATAATCATAATCTCAGTTTTGACAGAAAAGCATCAGAACAATTGAAACACGCAAATGCAATGAATAATTCACTCAGATACTGATTCCAGTCTAGGCATGTTGTAAACCTCATCATCCAGGTGTAATGATACTATTGTGGAAATCACACTTATGTTGAAACACTGTGGCTTCAAATGCACTATAGCGGATAAGCTGTATTAAAAATATCCAAAGCGCAGCTCTGAACTCACCGAAAGTGCGTCAACGCTCCATGAGCGAGGTCCCATCTGAGCAGCAGTGAGTACAAGCTATCTATTTACCACACAACAACACAGGGGACACCTGAGAAAGCTGCCACTGTATCTCGCTGTCCGTCAATGTGAGGCGCACTTCACTTGAACGCCGCTTGGGGGCAGTGAGTGAACGACAAATCCAAATAACTCACAATCTGTCACCGAGTGCGCAAAAAGACGCACGCACAATTTCTTCTTTATTACAAATATGTTGCACATAAACAATGTGAATAGTTGGCTATTTTTAAAAACTACATTTTAAGTCGTGTACACTCATGAGATGAGGACTCCAGTTATATCAGTAGCCTAATAAAAGCGGTTTTATTTTGAATGGAGTGGGTCGCCTCATGGAGGCAGGTTTAGATCACATGACCAGCCAAAAACGCGTTTTCGGACGCTTTCCGATTATAGAATAAAATGTGACCCTGGAGCACAAAACCAGTCTTAATCGCTGGGGTATATTTTTAGCAAAAAAAAAAAAACATTGTATGGGTGAAAATTATCGATTTTTCTTTATCATTAGGATATCAAGTAAAGATCATGTTCCATGAAGATATTTTGTAAATGTCCTACCGTAAATATATCAAAACTTAATTTTTGATTAGTAATATGCATTGCTAAGAACTTCATTTGGACAACTTTAAAGGCGATTTTCTCTATTTAGATTTATTAGGTTTTGTGGTCCAGTGTCACAAAAAAGCATGGCTGCAAATGGAGCGTTTAACATGACTGAATATCAAAGGGTGTATTAAAATACTAATACTATTTTTAGTATGTTTGTATTCTTCACTATTTCATGAGAAAATTAATACATTATTACATTAATACATTTCTTCAGACCCTTTCGTTACATTTGCGTTGAGGGAGAACAGTCACAGAAGCGCGGGCTCTTGTTAGCTGTGTAACAAGAGAGTCGTCACCCTGAGCTCAGGGATCTTTTTACTTCAGGATGTAATGACAAAAATTGACCCCTCTGACTAAAGCTGGGCAAACGCCAAACTAGAGGGCACAAAACCCTCAGACCTGAAATATGACTCTGGGAACTCCAAAGTGGAGCACTTGATGTGTGATGAATGGAGAGCACTGAAATTAAACAGGGCGACTGACCAATATGTCAAAACTAACAAGAGTAACAGTAGCTCTCAAAATCTAGTTGAATGTGTTCAATTATCTAAAAATGGAAAACCTACAAATACAACTGCATTACTTTTAAATGCTAGATTAGATATAAGCACATAAACATACAGTATGGGTAGTTGACAATGGTAGAAAATGGGATAATTTAGGTTAATATTTAAAAATATTCAACATTCAATCACCTTTTTACCATCAACTTGCTTCAGGGTTATTATTATCTTAAACTATAAATTTTCATGACTTATATGAAATAAAATAAACATCAACTGAAATGAAATATTAAAAAAACAAAAAAAAACTTTATATCAGATAGTTCCAAAGGCAACATTTCTCATTTTCATTTAGTTTACTAAAATAACTATACCACTAAAACATAAAAACTAACAAAATTGCTACAATTTTAAAATGAAAACAAAATATAACTGCTTGACATTTCAAGTCATCCTCAATAAGGCAAACATAATACAACAAATAGACAAACATTGAAATCTTTATTTTTTTTCACTACATATTCACAAACAAGATCTGATATTGCATGGAAATTACCATTCTGTAGGGCTGAACAATAGAATATAAAAGAAAATCAGGTTAAAAAAATTAACAGAACAATAAAATAAAAAAAATACAATAGGAAGCTTTTTTCAATATGGAAATATCATGAAAGACGGAGATGAAAGTGTTGACAGGCAGGTCGACACAACATCTTACAAATACACACACGGTTCTGACAAGAACAGTAAAATATAATTTTTAACAAAACAAGCCTATTGCCGGGAATGTAACATTATCTGTACATACGTGCATAAACAAAAGTCCATAATTAGTCTTAAAACAACCTAAACCCTTAACATCAATTCAATAAACAAAATATTAAACCTATTATCTACAAATTTTCACACAAAACATCAAAGTATTAAGGCACTATTTTAAATCCCATTACATTTTTTCCCCAGTCAACGTGTTCCCTTTGATATGAACACAACCATTACAAGTTTACCACTGTCCTATTTAAAAATAAAGCACATTTGTCTAACAGTGCTGTTGGTTAACTGTGTTGTAGGCAGAATAAACTGGCAGTTTGGTAATTGTATTTATTTATTTATTTAGCATGAGCTAATTAGCAGCAAAAGTCTTTGTACCTATGCATAGTTGATCGTTCCGTTTACTGGTTGTATGTGTTCGTTTGTTTTGTACTTCACTGTAGCGGTCTTTAAAGGCCAGGGCAAGTTATATTGTAGAACTGCACAACTGGTCAGTTATACCAGAGGAACGTCCTCCATGATAGCTAAAAAAAATCAGTTTTTAAAGGCTAAAACCAAAACAAGGTGTGTTTATCTATGGCTTGTATAAGAAAAGGTCAGTCACAGCCAGTTAGACTAAACAATACTGATCTCCAAGTGTTTTTGGTTTGGTACGTGTGTTCATGAATAAGGAAAAATCTGATGGCATGAAATGACTGTGTTCAGCTTTCAGTATCTTGAAGCTGAACGACTTGATCCAGACAAATGGAAGACAACCATATGAAAAAACAGGCGAGAGACAGGGTGGAAGGAGAGGCACGAGAGACATGACGAGAGAGAGATCCAATGAGGTGAGGACAGGTCTGCAGGGTAAGGGTGTTCATGAACTGGGCATGAACATGGTCCATGTGTACTGGAGCACAGAGGGAGACACAAGGAGGATTTCATCTCTGCAAAGACAGTGAGACAGTAAGTCAAATGTGTTCATTCATACAAATGCCAAATGCTGAGCTGATATTAGAGATGGGAGAAAATAAGATAAGATACAATGACAACAGACTGATTTAAACGATGAAGAAAACTGTCATGGAGAAATAGTATGGAGGAAAGCTTAAAAGAACGCCATGGGTTCGATACGAGCTCAATTACACATCAAAGATTATAAAAAGTCCGATCTTGCATCATAAACATCCATTTCAAGTAAATCTCCACCAGCATGTTTCTTCACATTTTTTTTTGCATTATGTAAAAGTACCATATCATTTATCAGTGATATTGAAGATTTTTTTTTAGTTGAACCATATTGGTTATTGCATATTTCATTTTGACCATTTCCACAATTCTTACCTTGGCCATCTAACGCTCATTTAAAGACAAATCTTTAATAACACTAGTAATTTAATAACTCTGTCATTTTTACCAAATCTCAAAATGAATATCCATTTTCCTGCTTCACATCATAACGGTGTGGTGCAACATGCAGACTGATTTTTAGTTTTAATGTTTTATTTCTTATCTTTTTAAGACAAAATCTTAGTTTTGACAATCATCATTTATCAGCCATAAATTAAACCCTGACCATTTTTATATCCAATCTATTAGCCAATCAAATCAGAATATCATGTGATCATGTGACACTGAAGACTGGAGTAACGATGCTGAAAATTCAGCGTTGCCATCAAAGTAATATATTACATTTTAACATTAAAAAAAGAACAAAACTGTTTTTAAATTGTAAAAATATTTCATAATATTACCGTCTTTGCTGTATTTTTGATCAAAGAAGTATATAGCATGGTAAGACTTCTTAACATTTTTTTTTTTTTTTTTCCCCAAATCTTACCGAACCTAAACTTTTGATGTTGACGTTGAACGGTGTATGTTAAAACCAGCAAATGGTAACATGATTAAAAAAAAACTGATGCAAAGAATCTAAACACATGAGAAAGAATTTGTGTTTTTATAGCGCTTCAATGAAATGCTCAACCAAGTGAGCAGAAACATCTAATTCTGAACCTCACAATGCACTTTTTTTTATTGCTTCATCAGAGTTGGTGGTAAAATTGTTTTACTTATGTGATGGTCAACAACTGAGCAGTTAGGTGGCTCTGAACTTTGTCTGGCGTGTGTAAGTGTGTGTTGACCTTTTCGCTGCATCAACACTTCTTTGCTGTTTTTGGAGTTGACCTCGTTTCCCCTTAATCTCACGACTAGGATTAGACACAATTTCCTCAACAAAATCCTGACACGAGTCTGAATGGCTCACTAACCTAGAGGATGCTTTTGTCCTACAGGACGATTTCTGGTGTTTATCTGATGGACTGTGTGGAGTGGACTGATCGCTAGAAGATGTTACACTCGATGTTGCCCTAGGGAAAATTTTAGATTGCGTCGTAGACACTGTATTTGAACATGCAAAACGACTAAAAGAAGTTCCCTCATCAGATCGAGATTTAGAGATGTTAGACTGCTTTTTGAGAAACGCACGTTCTGCATTAGACTTCTTGGAAGGTTTTAAATCATTCTCCTGCATTGTAACTTTACGTCTTTTCTCTGATCCATCAGTTCTACCTAATTGTGTATCAAGGGTTTCGACAGAACGTGAACCGCCTTTGCTCACTGGTGCAGATGCGCGACGTGTTTTAATAAACGTGTTACTGCGCAGCGGCGCTGACACTTTCAGGCTATTTCCCTGTGATTCGTTAACTTTGGGTTGTCGTGACTGGATAGCAAACGGTCCCAACCCTCCACTAGAGTCATCTAACGAGCGAGACGAACCTGACCCGTAACTACGAACGAAAGTAGTGTCGCGCACAAGACCGACAGATGCTAGACTCCGCGTGGACGTAGAGGACTCGGGTTCATTTGAGGCAGAAAAAGACGAGCATGAGGAAGAAGAGGAGGGCGCTCTTACGGGGCTGCAGTGAAGGCTGCGTGAGAGCGCCCTCATGTGGCTGCTCGTGTTCTGCAGGCCGGCAGGCACTAGCAGCGGACTGGAGCGTGGACTGCTTCTCATGCGGCTCCGCGGGGCTCGGCCTGATTTGGACAGATGCTTGGTCCGGGAGTGGTGCGGGCTGCCACCGTTACTGAGAGGGGACAGAGGGACCTCCAGGTCCTCCAGCCGCTGGGTCAGTGCCAGCTTCTGCTGAATGGCCATGCGGAGGAGAGAGTTGAGCGTCTTTTTCTCATCCTCAGCGGCGGCGAGCTGTCTCTGCATCTCATCTAACTGAGTTACATACTGGTCACATCTGTAAAGATGATAAGGATACAGGAAACAGGAACGGAGATACATATAAAATGAAATAACGAAAGAATAAAAGGGATTACTTTTTGCATAAACATCCCTTAAAAAAACACTTTAGTTTTTTATTAGAAACTGATGCAAGAATGTGTAGAATAGTCTTTGTTGTCCTCATGAGAGCGCTACACAACAGACTGAGAGCCTTTGATGTTCAAACAATAAAATGCTTCACTTCTGAATGTTTGAGTAAAAACACATAAGCCAATACAGTTGACATTGATAACTAGTATTACTTGCAAAGGAAATCATCATTATTACTTTTGCTTATACTTTGGGTTAGTGATTAATAAGAAACTTTGGCCTGTAACTTGTTAGGCAGTGTTTGTGATACAGACATGATAGACCAACTGTATTTTATCTTTAAAATACAGTTTTTGTCTTTTCTTTTTAGTCTGGTGGTGGGAAAAAGGAAAAAAATAAAAATAAAAAAAACTTACTAAACAATCCCTTTCACATCAAAATGATCAAAACACTACACACATAATATACTGTAGCAGTGAGCTCCATTGACTTTGACCAGCAACCAACTACCAATTAACTAGTGGTCTTTTTAAAACGGCTGATATATACACAATCCCATTTAAACAGGGTTCGCACAGAAACTGCTAATTGAAATTCCAGGACTTAAGGACTTTAAGCACTACTTTTTTTGGTTTTCAAGGACTAAAATCAGAGATCACAATATCGTTATCTTTCAAATACTAATAAATAAACGAATAAAACAAAATGAAACAAATAATGTGCAATGACTCTGGCAACTTTAACATTTGAAAGGATACTATGGCAAAGTTATCAATTTCCTTATTCAAAGTGATTTTTTTTTCATGAATACATGATTAACCTGAAGAGTAAAAGCTTCATCATACACTTGGAAAATTATGAGCTATATCATGTTCATGGACACTAGGGGTGTGACAATACACTTAGCTCACGAGATGAGACAAAATACAAATACTTGGTTCACTAGAACGAGACGATATTTTAAAACCATTTTTAAGAAATTTTTAAATGACAAAATATTTGTCTTTTAATCACAAAAAAACTAAACGCTGAACTCCCAAAAACAATGTAGTTGTATTTTGAAATATTTTAACTAATCTAGAGCCCTAACTAACTATTATTTTGGTAGTCAAGTAATCTACTGATTAGTTTGACAATTGAGTAATCTGATATTTTTTAGTAATAAAAAAAGACCTAAGTGAAAAACAGCCCTTAGTATGACTACATTTATATACAGTATATTAAACTAACAATGAGACAATAATAATTTGTTCGAATAAAGTAGCAAAGTCAAGTAATCACATGGTTTTATTGAACAACACTTAAAATACATAAAGTAATATGCCTACATAATATGAACATAACCAACTTAAGTACATTATGTATTATAACAAATACCGCTTTTCACCTAAAGGAGTAATATCGCGAGATCTCGTGCGCTCCCAAAAGCCGGGTGAAATGACTATTTAACACGCGCTGCATTGTTCCTTTTCCGAAAAAAGATTGTTTTTATCGAAAACAAAAATCAGGGTTTCTGCAGGATTTTAAGCTCAAATTTAAGATCTTTTTAAGACCTGCACAGATAAAATTAATACCATATGAGCGGGGTAGGGCAATGTCTATAGTACCATATTAAACTGTAAAATTACTGTAAAGCATAATTTACAGTTCAGATACAAGTTTTCACAAAAACACATAGTTTTATAAAATGATGAACTTTACATTTCAGCCTTTAAGCCATTTTTAAGAAAACAAATGAGCCAAAAGTATTAATTATTATATTAATTTAAACAATTATTATCAATAAATTACTATATCAATTAAATAACAAATTAGGGGTGTGCGATATCTTGATCATTTTCGGGAATTTTATCGATAACGGTAATTAGACAATATTTTGCTGAATGTGTTATTGTGCTGATATCTTATCTCTAATTGTGCTGACAACTGACTTCTGAATTTTTTGATATTCTTCATATTCTGTGTGGTCAGTTCACAGCAGTGATAGAAATTAATTATTTCCAATAAGTTTTATGGCCATTTTTATCTTTAAGCCATTTTTTGAGTCAAATTCTTGCATTTGGGCTGTTACCAAGCAAATGAAATCAGTATCAACAAAATTGATCTTTGCAATGCAGAGGAAACACAGAAGCTGCATTAGAAGTGTCATTTAGATGCATTTACACACTGTTTAATGCAGCACTGAGGGACATGGAGGATTTGAGACTTTAGTTTTTGCAACTTTACAGATCTTCTTTATGCACCAAGAGCTTGTAACACTCCAAAGAGAAAGGAAAATTTGAAATCGCATCATATGACCCCTTTAACCTGCAGATACAAATGCATACATTTTTTTTGATATTTTAAACAAAACATTAAAAACTGATGTTTGAACTTATTTAAAAAATGAAACGGTACCTTAAATGTGAAATTAAAACCGCCAGTAGGTGGCAGCAAGTCACTGTTAAGTGAGTCATTGCGATTGAACCGAATCATTTAAACGGTTAATTCATTCAGGAACAAAACAGCGTCATGTTGCTCAGTGTAAATATATTACTGTGGTGCAGAATGATATGCATAATGCAACTACAGTTATTACAACTTTTGTTTAAAGGAATAATCACACAATACGCTAGTTTAACTCTCATT